GGCCCCACCACGGGGTCCCAGGCACTTCCTGCATGCCTCCAGAGCCCCCCAGCATCCGAGGGGGGAGAAGCTGATGTGCAACCTTTATTTACACCCCCCCAGGCCTTGCACGTCCCAAAGAGTCCAGTGCTGACTGCTGGGTCCCCCCCTCCCACCCCAAAGCCCCCCCAGCCCCCCTCTGCTGCTCATCATACAGGCGTCAGGCCCTGCCCACAGGCAGCAGCCCCTGCCCCTCACCAGCAGCGGGGGTCTGGCGTGGGGGGGCTGCCAGGAGGAGCATTTGGGGCTGGGGGTCAGAGAGAATGGAGTGTGTGGAGCAGGGGAGTGGGCAAGGGCCCATCCCAGCAGTGGGGCGGTGGGTGCCGGGAGCTCCAGGCCCCATGGCTGGGCGGGGAGGAGGGTGCACAGCGGCAGGGGCCGCAGGGTTATCTGAGGGTAGTCTCGCCCTGGAACCAATCCAGCACTGGCTGCCGGTTCTCCTTCACCCAGTTGATGTTGGCGCGGGTCCTCTCCAGTGCCTGCTCCAGCGCCCGTGTCCCCGACCCAAAGCCGATGTCCTGGTTGTCTGCCTTGAACTGCTCCAGCTGATGGGGGGAGGAGGAGTTGGAGCAGGCGTGGGGTACCCCAGCAGCCCTCCAGCAGCCCAGGATGGGGCCAGAAGCTGCCCAGACCCCTGGGCACAGGAGGGGCTGGGGCAGGACCCCCACCACCAAGGCTAAGGGCAGGTTGCAAGCTGCCGGCTGGGGCTGGGGTCCCCTCCAGTGCCCGGCCCCACAGATCCTGCTCCAGCCTCACCTGCTGCAGCTCATACTCTGTGGAAAACCGCTGGGTCACCGATAAAATCAGCCGGGAGAAGGAAAAGGAGCCACCCCCGTACCTGGAGAGCAGAGGGATGCTGAGCCAGGGGCCTGGGCAGAGTTGCAGCAGCACCATGGCTGCCCCCATCCGGCTGGGCCAGGGAAGGGACAGTGCCACCCCCCTGTGGGGGCACAGGCAGAAGGGGAGTGCTGGTGGCCCCCTGAAGCCCCCCATGCAGTGCTCACTGGCTGAAAAGCATCCTCCAGTTGCCACGGATGAAGTCCCAGGCCAGGGGCTGCCCCACCACATTGCTGGCAATGCTGTTGATGGTGGCGGTGGCATCCTGCTTCCGGATCTTGTTGGGGTCCAGGGTGTACTGCAGATACCTGGGGGAGGGGGGTGACACCCCGCTGGGTGAGGGGCTGGCGACGGCAGAGCCACGGTCCCCCCCCAGGAGTCCGCACCCACCGGTTGAGGATCCAGGGCTGGGGGCTGCAGGAAAGGGCCGTGCGGAGCTTGTCGGCCTCAGACACGACAGTGGCCTCCTGGAACCTCTCCCAGATGAAGTTCCAGGCCTCCTCCCCGCCTGTGGCCACTACACTGCAGTAGATGGAGGAGCGCAGGTTTGGGGGGATCCTGTGGGAGAGAAGACGCGGCTCAGCTGGGAACCCCTTGCCGTGCCCAGCCCGGCTGCCTGCCGCCACACTCACGGGTTCCTAGTGATGTTTTGCTGCCACTGGTGGAAATATTTGGTGGCCAGTTCCTGGCACTCAGTGATGCCGTAGGAGCAGGCTGTGCTGATGGCGTTGATCTCGTTGTACCTGGGGACAGAGCAGCCATGCAGGGCTGGGGACCAGCTCCTCGAGCAGGGCCATGCCCTCTCCCTGGCACACGCTGGGGTGACTGTCCCAGTGCAGCCGGGGAGACCCCGGGGGGATCCAGCCCAGCGCAGGGGCTGCAAAACTCACTGGTCCATCAGGCCACTGGGGATGTTGACCCAGTCGTTGGTGAGGTTCTTGTAGTAGTTGAAGAGGGGAGTCACCTGCTTCTGGATGTATTTCTGGGGGGCAGGAGGAGGGTCAGCGGCACCGTCAGCAGCTCCCCCCCTGCTCCCAGCTCAGGGTGCATACACAGCCCCTCACCCCTGTTATGCTGGCACAGGGCTCAACTCACCTGCATCACCCCGAAGACCTCGCTGCGGTCAAACATCAGCTGGAAGTACCGGAGGTTGTTGAGCGCCGCCTGCCAGGGCATGTACGCTGTCTCCTGGTTCAGGAACCGCGTGGTGTTCAAGGCCAAGGTCACGTTGACGTAACCAGCCCTGCGAGGGGTGAAGGGTGGTGTCAGCTCCCAGGGCACCCATCCTATGGGTCTCCCTGGCCCCGAGGGGGCTGCGGCTGGGCTCACCTGGCCAGGTTGAAGGCATCATCGATGATCTGGGCACGGTTGATGACAGGGATCACCTGGAGGGAGCAGAGGAGGTGTCTCAGGGCAACCCCCAGAGGGCTGTGGGGTGGGTGTGGGGGTGCAGGGGGTTGCGGGGGGGTGCGGGCCCACCCACAGCCCACGCACCCTGTCCCCACATACCTGGTGGTCAGTGGTGAGTTGGCCAAGGAGCTGGTCCCAGTTCTCCTGGTTGTAGTTGACGCGGAAGTAGCCGCTGACGTTCAGGTTCAGCAAGAGCCAGCTGGAGCTGTTCACCTTGAACTGGTTATTGGTTTCTGGGAGGGGGACAGGAGGGTCTGACTGAGCTGCCCCCCTGCCCACGAGGGGGGCCAGGCTCAGCGCCCCCCACCTCACCAGTGCCCACCCGGGGGACCCCAACCTGTGCCAGGGCAGGGGAGGTGGCAGCGAGCCCCCCACTCCCAGCCCGGGCAGGACACACGTACCTAAGATATCAGTCAGCCAGTACCTGTCCCCAAGGGTGTCACGTGTCATCCAGGTGATGGGGACGATCCAGATGTAGCTGTGCAGGGAACAGGCAGGCAGTGGGGTCCCCTGCCCCTGTGCCCCCCCAGACCCCCCACCTGGCGCTGACAGCCCCCCCACTCCACTCACTTGAAGATGGAGGGTCTGTCCACCGTGGAGTTGGGGTCGAGCAGGAAGTGTGTCTGCCTGACAATACCGGTGCGGGTGTCGACGGTGACCAAGGGGAAGCCCATCTGCAGCGTCCAGCGGTCCATGATCCTGCTAATGGAGTCGGGCAGCGGGACATTGTACTTCACCACAGCCTGTGGGGGAGGCAGCAGGTCAGCAGGGCCAAGGGTAGGGTGCAGGACTCACCCAGCACACAGTGGCTGCGTGACCAGCACCCTGGGACCCTGTCCCGCCAGGCAGCACCCCTAGAGCTGGGGCAGCAGCAAGGAAGGAGCTGGAGGTTGGGGGGAGCCACCGGGAGCATCCAGCCCCCTCCTACCTCTTGCAGATGAGACCAGAGGTCAGTGTAGACGGTGTTCCCGTAGGCGAAGGTGTGGAGGTAGGACTGTGGGAGAGCACCAGGAGAGACAGGTGAGTAGGGGCAGGTCCGGGGTGCAGGACACCTGCAGAGCACCCGGGAGAGCCCTGTTGTGGGACACGCCCCCCGGGCACTGGCAGAGCCTCACCTGCAGCCCCTCCTTGAACACATCCTCGGTGAGGAAGTCGGAGAGCATCCGCAGCACTGACGCTCCCTGCAGAGACGGCAGGTCAGAAACCCCAGGGTGTGTGGGGCCCCCACCACCACCACCACCCTGGTCCCCCATGCTCCCACCTTGCTGTAGGCGATGCTGTCAAAGACCTCACTGATCTGAGCTGGGGTGTTGACCTCATCCTCGCGGAAGGAGAGTGGGTGGGAGGTGGCCAGGGCGTCTGTTGCCATCACCGTGTACACCTCATTCAGCACCATCAGGTCTTTCTGCAGCAGTGGGGGGGAAGCACCAGCACCCATCTCAGCCCTGCGCACACCCCCCTGGCACTGGGGATAGCCCCCAGGGGGGGCAGGGGGTGCCCAATCCCCTCTGCCTGCCAGAACTCACGATGTTCCAGGTCTTCTCCACTGCGTTGGCGCCCAGGTACTCCACGTAGGAGGCAAAACCCTCGTTCAGCCACAAGTCATTCCACCACCGCAGGGTCACCAGGTTCCCGAACCACTGTGGGGGGGACACAGCACCCCATTAGGGCGGCCCGGCTGGCCAACAGGGCGGGCGGTGGCCCGGCGGGTACCTGGTGAGCCAGCTCATGGGCAATGACGGTCACCACCCGCTCCTTGTTGCCGATGGAGGAGTAGGCGTTGTCAAAGAGCAGCGAGTTCTCACGGTAAGTCACCAGCCCCCAGTTCTCCATCGCGCCTGCATTGAAGTCGGGGAGGCCGACCTGGTCTGGGGACAGAGGGCTCATGTTGGTGCAGGAGGGCCAGGGTGCCGGCAGCTCGACACAGTGCCCTGAACACCCCATGGCACCCACCGGATTTGGGCAGCGGGTATGACGTGTTGTAGTGCTTCTCAAAGAAGCTGAGGATAGGGCCTGTCACCTGGAGCGCGTAGCTGCCCTGGCCCTCGGCGATGGCCTCGGGGCGGCCCCAGATGCGAATCTGGAAGAGGGAGATGCAGGGTTCAGCTGCTGCTCGGGCTCAGAGCCTCGGACAGGAGGGAGGTGTGCCCCCCCCAAGCCTACCAGCACATTGCTCTCATTGCTCTCCACATAGTCGAATTGGCTGACAATGAAGGCCAGCAGGTACGTGGACATCCTGGGGGTGGTCTGAAACTCAGTGACATTCCAGCTCTTCCCATCAATCTGCTGCTGCCAGGTCCCTGCAGGGAGAAGAGGGAGGGGGGAGTCACACTGCAGCTCCCCCCAGACCCTCCCCACCAGGGTTCCCCCACCCCACTCACTCGTGACCGGCATGTTAGAAATGGCCTTGTGGTCAGAGGGGTGGATCAGCGTCACTGTGAAGTTGGCTTTCATGGCTGGCTCATCAAAGCAGGGGAAGGCTTTCCGCGCGTCCGCCGCCTGCATCTGCGTGGTGGCCACCACCTTCCTGTGAGCAAACCCCGTTAACCCCCCCCGGGGGGGCTTTGCAGTGGCCACAACCCCCCCAGGACCCTCCGCTCGCCCCACTCTCTGCCAGTCCCATCCCCGTGGATGTGGAAGCAGGGGGGCACAGAGGCTTCCCCCCCAGCCATCGCACTGTCCCCATTGGGAGAGGAGCCCCAAACCCAGCCCATGCCCTCCACTATCCCCAGGACAGCCCCACGACCCCAACCCCTGCCCTCCACCTACTTGACGCCTGAGGCATTCACATATTCGCTGCGGTAGAAGCCAGCCAAGTCATCAGCCAGCTCCCCCGTGAAGATGGTGATGAGACGGTAGCGCTGGCCCCGCTGCAGCGAGCTGCCCAACTGCACCACCAGGTACTGGGTGGGGGTCTCCAGCCAGGTGCTGGAAATGGGGGGCACCCTAGAGCCGTCCACCGCCTGCAGCGAGGCGTGGAAGGACCCTTGCAGGGTGTAGTTCAGCTTGTTGCTGTGGATGAGGATGAGGTCGGTGGCTTCTGTGCAGATGAAGACCACACTGCTGTTGCCCTTGAAGATGTAGACATTGTTGGCATCGGGTGTCAGGAAGGGCTGCAAGGTCACCTCATAGGACTCTGGCGTCAGCGTCGTCGGCAGCCGCCACCGGTTCCAAGCGTATTCGGGGCCAGCGGAGGAGGGGGACACAGCGGTGGTGGGGGCAGTGTCCGTGATGGGGGGGCCGGCCGTGGTGGGGCGGGGGGCGGCTGTGGTGGTGGTGGTGGTGCCAACGTCCGTCACCTTGTTCTTCTCCTGGGCGTAGACCACTGAGAGTGCGATGATGGTGGCCACAGCCCCCAGGGCCAGCACGATGGCCACGATGCCCACGCTCTTGCTGATGAAGAAGCCAGCCGCCATGGTGAGGCTGCGGGCACGGTGCTTGTGGAAGAGGCTCTGCCCGGCTGGCACAGCTTTTAGCCTCTCGCTCCCACGGGGTTTATTAGTCCAAGTTAATGGGTGAAGTATTAAATGACCATGAGGCTCAGGGCGGCGACAGCCCCCGGGATGAGCTTTCCACCCAGCTGCCTCCTGGCCCCACGGGAGCGCTAACGCCCTGCACCACTGCAGCAGGGGGTGAAGCCGGTACCTCGGGATTGCACCATCACAGGGATGGGCAGCACGGGAGTGGGTGTGGGCTGTGGGCCAGCATTCCCTGGGTCCCTCCCGAGTGCCAACCTGGCCCTGCAAAAGGAGGGACAGAGTGGGATAGTCACAGCCAACAGCCCCAGCAGTCGCCCTGTTTGCCCTCAAGTGATGGGGTCTCAGCCGCTGCCAGGGGGTCCCAGCTGCCCCTCGCCCTATGAAGGACCCACTGCTGGGGCTGGGGCTGGGGCTGAGCCCTCACCGGGCTGCCC